AACGTCCATCAAAAGATGGTACTAGCTTAATTTTGAGTTATCCAATAAGCCTTAAAAATTTACCAAGTAATTAATTATTGAAAATTATTCTCAATTGACTCTAATACTTTTAGCAAAAAATTAAAAAAATTCTCTCACCTCAAGAGTATGCAAGAAAACTATTCTTTCACTTGCAGAGGCTTCATCATCGGATTATTTAACACTAAAAAAATTCAAGAAAATAAAAAAAAATGATTGCTTTTGTATAGGAAAAATTGATACTTTCAACTTTTTCCCAAAATATCTTTTAGAAACTTTAATTTCGAGGAAAATTGATACTTTCAACTTTTCCTCAAAAATCTATTTTTTTTGAAAACTTATTTTTAAAGAAAATTGATACTTTCAACTTTTCTCCAAAAATATTTTTTTTTAGAAAGCTTATTTTCAAGGAAAATTGATACTTTCAACTTTTTCTCAAAAATATTTTTTTAGAAAGCTTATTTTCAAGAAAAATTGATACTTTCAACTTTTCCTCAAAAATATTTTTTTTGAATTTTATTTAAAGAAAATAAAATAATAAAATAAAATAAAAATAAAAATAAATAAATTAAAATAAATTAAAAATAAAAATAGAAATAAAAAATATTAAACAATCCTAATCTAATTAATAATAATAATAATAGTAATAATAATAATAATAAATAATAAAAAAATGAAAAAAATAACCTAGGAACGGCTCGGCTTAGCAGCTTGGCTCGGCTCGGCTTGAGGAAGAAAAACAGCTCGAGGACGTGGCTCGGGGCGTCGGCTCAGCTCGGGAAACACCTCGGAGATGCAGGTCGAAAGCAGGTTGGCGCTCGGGTCAGGTCAGATCTTGGCAAAACGCGCGGATCTTCTGGGCACAGTAACGCCAAAACAACGTCTTTTTCAGCAAGTATAAAAGGCTACCCCTTCTATTTTTTCAGCAGACCAATCCTTCCCTCCCTCTCTCTTCTCTTCCTTTCCTCTCCCTTCTCTCTAAACCACGAAGAACTTCGGTTGAATTCTTGTCGGATTCTGAAAATTTTCGTCAGAATCTGGGTTTTTCGTCAGAAGTTCGTCAAAAAACTGATCAGTTTCTGGAAATAGTCACCGAAAATTGGAAAGTTGGCCCAAAAATTCAAACTTGGCCAGAAAAGTCCTCGAAAAATTTAAACTTCGCTGAAAAATTCAACCGAAATATGAAAATTTTTCAAAAATTTCTAGAAAAAATTCACAAAAAAATTCTCTAAAAATTTCCACCGATTCCTATAACTGTTCTAACGCACTAAAACCCTTTTTAGCTTCTGTTTCTTCTCTGTGTATTCTCTCTCAGCCAGTGTCTGCCTTTTTTTCAGTGTGTTCATTATTGATTTATAGATTCATGCTAATAGAGTTTCAATTCAATTCTAATTAGCATCCAAATCAAAATATTAGCACCAATCCTAATATCATTTTTTCAACTTTTCTTTTTAAAAAAAAAAAATTAATCAGATAATGGAGAAAGAAAAAGAAATTAAACAATAGATAGATCATAAAAAAAATAAAAATGATAAATACAAAAATAAAAAAATCTAAAATAAAAATGAATAAAAATCCCTACACCCGAGCTTAGATTAGTCTCGATTAACAAAAAATCTCGAACAAAATAGGGTATCTACATTTACTATTAAGTAGTATAAATAATTATAAATTAAAATTTACAATATTCTTATGAATTTAATCATTCATGAATTTATGTTATTCATGAATTAATTAAATAGATGTACTAAATATTTAATATAATTTAAATTTAACATATTTATTAAATAATATAAATATTCATGAATCAAACTTACATATTAAAAAAATAACACCTACAGTAACACATCATGAAAATTGACAAACATTTATGTTGTATACCATAAATGAAAAAATTATTGAATTTAGATATGCCTATGTGAAAACTATTATTTTTCATATTTCAAGGAAAAGTAAAATCAACATATAGCTATTCTACTAGGATTAGTCAAATTGGAAATTAATGTTAAAGCTAATGATCAGTCAATAACCTTCACGCTTTTAATAGATAATTTACACCTCGTTTAATATATAATTTACTTTGAAATTAAAATTCAAAATGTATTTGAAGGATGCGTTTTTAATATTATTCTATAAAAATTAAGTTTATACAAAACCTCATACTAACCGTTTATCAAAAATAATTAAATAAATAAATAAGAATTTATATTTAAACTATTGTTAATATATAGAATTTATATATTATCAATGAATTAAATAATAATATTTTATTAATGAATAAATATATAAAAATAATATTTTTAAAAAATTAATCATAATGAAGTAATATTTTTTTATTTACTAACAGAGTATTAAATATAAACGTAATAATAATTGTTTTTCTAAAATACATGCTATTGTTTTCCAAAGATAAACAATTGCCCTTATTGTCATTTTCCAAAAGTTCCCTAAAAGAAAATTTTGTTAATATCACAAATTTATACAAGAGATACATCCAAAGTACCCAAAAATAAAATAAGTTGTAACCTCCTATATTTTTTTAACTTTTAAAAACAATAGAAAAGGTAGTAAAACTCTTTCTTTTACCTAATTAATTCTCTCTTTCTAATTTTTATTGTGTCGTCTCTTACAACATAATTTGATCTAACAATTTAACATTTGTCAAAATTATAAAAATAAGGAAAATAAAAGAAAATTGGTCTGGAAAAGTTAACCTGGCTACACATCATACAAAGATAATTGTCAATATTCTCTGGAGCCAGCAAGTTTCCAAGAAACTCACTTCTAAAGAAATCAAGAGTACAACAATAATTATCAAAACAGCAATGTAACTTCGCATTCCTAGCAATCCAATTAGCTGCCCGAAGTTAACCTACATAGTCGTCTTACCACGATAATCGTCAATTTTCTCCCGGACTGGCCAATTTTCCAAGAAACTCACTCGGAAAATTAAACTATGAAAATTACTTTCTTTTTTTTTTTTTATAAAAAGTTTCAGTTTGACAATTGCTTCAAGTAAACATAAAATTTCATATTCCGTTTGTCCTCTCATTCAAAAGAAAAAGAAAAAAAAAAGAAGACATAAAACCAAATTAAAGATAGGGAAAGCTCATGGATTTAACATAGCTCCGACATGGAAATTTCGCTTGATGCTTTTCAATTCTTTACGAAAAATATTTTATTAAAGAAATGTGGAAGAGGTTTTTCTTTTCTGTTTTTTATTTATTTTAAATAGGAACAAATCTTTCTTAGGATTTCATCGTACATTAATAAGACAAACGTAATTGTCTAATTTCTCACATTGTCCATTAGATTGCTACCTTTAATTTTCTCAGACCAACCTGACTCTCCAGGAGTTGGAAATTTCAACACGCTTTACTAACTATATAATCAACTGATGTGATTCAAAATTAATTTCTACTCCCAAAGGAGCAGTCCCAATCTGAAGCAATATTGGAGAATCGCCTGTCTTAAAGGGGAAACGTAACCTCAGATTTTCCCGCAGTTTTTCGTCATGTTAGAAAAAGTAATGGGATTCCATGCCGAAGTCTAAAAGATGAGATTCCTTTAATCTTTATTGTTTTGTGCAATGGACCACACTATGAAAATTTTTCACTCGTACTCTTGCTTTAGCCACAAACAGGGGAACTTGATGGGATGGAGTGCGCTAACTTCATGGAGTCAAGGTAGGAAATTACATGAAACATTACTTTATATTTTTTCAATTCCTTGTGAGAAGTACTATAAAGAAATATGGAATTTTTTTTCTAAGTAGGAACAAATTTCTTATAATTTTGTGGTCCATCCCAAAATTAAAAAAAAATGTAATTTTTGATCTTGTCTGTCATTTAAGATTATCCTGACTATTATATTATTCTCTGCCAGAGGAGTCCCAATCTGAGGAAATATTGGAGAACTGCCTGTTTTAAAAGGAAAGAATTCACATGAGGAATTCCTGCAGTTTTATGCGCGCCAGAAAAGCTGATGATTCCATGCTAAATGTCCAAACATGAGATCCCTCTTATTTTATCCAATGAACCACTTCAAAAAATTTTCATTCATGCTGTAAGACCTTGCTTTGATGTTGGATTGCTGTGGTTAGCCACAAATAGGAAATGATATGGAAGGACAAAGACAATCGAATTTCAGTAATGTTCACAGGTCAATCAAATAAAGAAAAAAAAACATATTCACATCAAATCAAGAACTAGAGATACACCATGGATAGTGCCTTCATTCAGTTATATCATGTATGGAGTTTCAGGATAAACATAAACTCTAAAATGGTCCATTGTAGAACCTTGAGACCTCTTAATAGTGTTAATTCAGCTGCAAGACATTGATCGAGTGGGGAAGAATAGCGCAAAACTTGGAAGCCGAATTTCTTTGATTTGATATTGGGTATCTACCGTGTTCACATTTGCTCTGAAAGTACTCGAAAGCCAAAGATTTCTTGTTTTTGGGTTCAAATTTGCTTTGAGGTGTGGGAATAGGAGTGAAAAAAGAAATCAAGAAATCAAAATATGATTCAAAATCATAATGATTGATTAAGTTAAGATGATTTTTTTTATTTGTTTTAGATTAAATTTAAATATTATATGTATATTTTAAATGATGATCAAATTTTAAATTAAAAAATTAAAAATCAAATTAAATCAAATTATATATTTTTATTAATTTTTATCTATATTTTAAATTTTTATGAAATATAAATAATTATTTTATATTTAAATATATTAATAATCATATTAAAATAATATATAAAAAACAAAAAAAAATTTCAAAAACTAATAAACCAAACCAATCAAATTTAATTCAGATTAATTTTAAAAGAAAAATCGATTAGATTCGAATCAAATTAAATTTTAAAAATTTACAATATTATGTATTATTTGAAAATTAAATTAAATTTGATTTGATTAAATTTTAAAAATTTATAATATTATGTATTATTTGAAAATTAAATTAAATTCGATCTAATCCAACCGTTATCACCCTTACGTACTAAGATGATTTCTCATAAATTCGCTAAATTTTATATATATAAATCTACTTGGACTGATACAAAAAAATATTTTAGGTAAAACCCAAAAACCCTTTGCTAAAAAACCCCCAAATTATACAGTAGAAAACTTTTATATTATACATAGTTGCATATGAATTATTTTGGTAAAAACTTAATTTACTCAAATTTTGCAGCGTTCAGAAACCATGGCTCTACTGCAGTTAGACCCTAACCTTGAGCCAAAACTGGATCACACTCCAAACCCTTTCAGGTTTCAATATAACAGCTCCAAAGATCCATGACAACATCATAGAAAATCCAGGAATGTGCGTTGAGGGAGCGGATTAAAAATGGCATTGCCTCATAAGCTGGATTGTTGCAATTATTATTCTCTTTGCCTCGTGTCAGAAAGAATTACCATGTTTCTGATATTACCTTCTCTTCGTTTTAATTTCTTCCTTGCTGTGTTCCTAGTTTCTCTCATTACTTGTTTTCCTGGTTGCTTTGCTTTACCCTCGGATGGTATTGTTTTCCAGCCACGGCAATCAAAAAGAGCAACAATTCCAATTCCAGAGTGTTAAATCTTACATCACGTGGCACCCCTCCTCTTGCTCTTGCTCTTGCTCCTGCAAACATAACATAAGAGAAGTACTCCCGATCATAATTTCATCTTCAAAAAGAGTTGAAGAATATGAATATGTGCTTTTGAATCTTTGATTATAACAAAATCATCAAATCTCAAGATCAAACTAGAGCGTCCCAAGAGATGAGGCTGAGCAAATGCAAAGATAAAAGAAGAGGGAAAGAGTGAACTCAGTTAGACCATGCTGAATTAAAAAAATAAAAAAAAAATACAGCCTCCAAAAACTTTTGCGGGTGGATGAAACATGTTTGCATCCCCAACAATCCCGTATATTTTTCATTTGTCAAAATAAAACTCCTAGAATCACCAGATATCTTAAGAGTGCTATTTTGGAAATCTTCACCATATATACTTGATCATAGGTAGCAACCTCCTCCTGATAACTCCAGCAGTTCAAACATCTTATAACTTTTCTCCAACAAATGACTAGAAAAAAAAATTTTTAAGACGTTTAAAGAAATTGCTGCAAGTGTCCACAAGACCACAGTGTAAACTATTGATACCCAGGGAAAGTTACAGCTACATTATATATAGAGGAATAGGTAAATAAGACATTTTGTGGAAATGAGATACCCTATAGTTGAGTTGAGTCCAAGGTTTAAATTAGTGATGTTTTAAAACGCTGGCAGAACAATTCATGGTCATGTAGAACAAAATATTAGATTCCCTGTTACTCAATTGTTTTGGGGTTAGATCTAACACGGAATCTGTCCCGGATGCCTAGACTTAGACAACATGCTTTAATTAGTTACTGTCAGTGTCCAGGATAACCAGACATGAGTAGAGAAAAAGGAACATGGGCATGAAGATTAAATTCATGTGTATGAAGCAATATGGGAAAGGATTTGAATATACCTTGATTTTAGTGGGAGGATTAGAAGACTTAGATGAAGTTAAGGTTCCAAAGCCAAACTTTGGTTTCTTATCTGCAGACTTTAATATTTGAAAAGAACACATTAATGTCTCATCCACGCTCATCATGGCAGCAGCATTGTCAAACTCTCCACAGTAATTAGGTGCTGAAAATATGGTTACAAGTTGTCTATTAGCAAAGAATTCATATCCATCTTCAACAACCTGCAAGGATAGATACCATTTAATGAAACAAAGGATTCAGAGCCATAAGAAATTAGAAAATGCTTCATGTAAAACGTATTTAAACCTGGTGTGCGCGACATATTAAATCAAGATCAAGCTTCTTGAGACAATCTATGACACAATCAGAACCGAACATGTAGGAAACTCCCCTATCATTTGGCCCCCAGCCCTGAATGTCTTTACTAGGATCAGACCATAGGAGATCACACAGCAAGCCAGATTCTGGAACATCAGTAGGCCTCTTTAAATTTCTAATCTGATCTAAATTGCAGAGCTCAGGTGAAAGTCCACCATGCATGCAAAATATCTTTTCCTCAATGAGAGCTGCCACCGGCAGGCAGTTGAAACAATCAGTGAATACTTTCCAGAGCTTGACATTGAATCTTCGTTTACACTCATCATAAAATCCGTAGATACGGTTCACAGAAGCACATTCGTGGTTGCCCCTCAGAAGGAAAAAATTTTCAGGATATTTTATTTTGTATGCAAGGAGAAGGCATATCGTTTCTAGGCTTTGCTTTCCACGATCTACATAATCTCCCAAGAATAAGTAATTGGCATGAGGAGGGAAAGCACCATTCTCAAAAAGCCTCAGGAGATCAGAATACTGACCATGAATGTCTCCTGGATCATGAAAAGAAGAGACGAATAAGTAATTCAGTATGAAATGAATGACAAACAGTAAATAAGTAGAAATTGCCCCATGAGAACTCCAGAAGAAAAGAAACTATTCTTTGTGAGTAGTAGTAATTGCATGCTAATTGCTGTTTTCTAAATACATAGAAGATCTTCACTTATATGATTTAAAACATCACATCGTGCAATTATAATCTCTTTGTCTTCCAAGGAAAAGAACTATAATTTTCAAAAACACAATAAATCTATATGCCATGAGTATGACAATAAGAAATTTCCAAAACGTTAATCAAATTCTCATAGGCAATGAAATCAAATGAATGTGAATTACAACTGATTTATATCAGAGGAATGTGCCTCTTCAGCATTTGAACCACAGAATCCCCACTAATAAGCTTGAGAACTAGCAAGCACAATTTATTGACCAAAATTTTAAACAAAAACTTTCAAAAAATGCATTTTATTTGCAGAAATAATATGACCTCTCAAGCCAAAATCAATAACAGTCAAATAGATAGTGAACAGAGAATAAGTGAAAAGCTCTGACTCTCATTTAAGGTATAAAGATCACAAATTGCATTCAAATTGCATTCAAATTGCACAATCTCCTAAGTCAGAATTTAACAAACCAACATGTCAATTGAATAACATTAAGCTATGACTACAAAATCAAAAACAGATGACAGTAGTGTTGGGCTAAAAGCCTCCAATCCAATCACACCAACGAAAGCAAAATCAAACAATAAATCAAACACACAAGAGACAAAAATTTAACGTGGTTCGGTTCAATCAACCTACGTCCACGGATGAAAAATAAGATCCACTAGTTATAGAGAATTACAAACATACATCAAATCATCAACCTCACTCAACAATCAATACTCATAAGACACTCTCAATCTTCTTTAGTCCTATGAAGTATTCTCAACCCAAACAAACACAAACCTAAACCCTTGTGCACCCTTTCAACATAACCAAACACATACCCATATGCTCACATACATCATACCATGTGGATTCTCTCAATCTCCTCTAGTCCACTCACAAACAAATATACACACCCATAAAACGTAGAGCCCCAATACTCCTATGGGTGTTCAAACACACAAGAGACAACAATTTAACGTGGTTCGGTTCAATCAACCTACGTCCACGGATGAGAAACAAGATCCACTAGTTATAGAGAATTACAAACATACATCAAATCATCAACCTCACTCAACAATCAATACTCATAAACACTCTCAATCTTCTTTAGTCCTTTGAAGTATTCTCAACCCAAACAAACACAAACCTAAACCCTTGTGCACCCTTTTAACATAACCAAACACATACCCATATGCTCACATACATCATACCATGTGGATTCTCTCAATCTCCTCTAGTCCACTCACAAACAAATATACACACCCATAAAACGTAGAGCCCCAATACTCCTATGGGTGTTCAAACACACAAGAGACAACAATTTAACGTGGTTCGGTTCAATCAACCTACGTCCACGGATGAGAAACAAGATCCACTAGTTATAGAGAATTACAAACATACATCAAATCATCAACCTCACTCAACAATCAATACTCATAAAACACTCTCAATCTCCTTTAGTCCTATGAAGTATTCTCAACCCAAACAAACACAAACCTAAACCCTTGTGCACCCTTTCAACATAACCAAACACATACCCATATGCTCACATACATCATACCATGTGGATTCTCTCAGTCTCCTCTAGTCCACTCACAAACAAACATACGCTCCCATACATCATACCATGTGGACCCTCTCAGTCTCCTCTAGTCCACTCACAAACAAATATACACACTCATAAGACGTAGAGCCCCAATACTCCTATGGGGTGTCTATCCCACAAAACTCTACAACTCTTACATCTTTTTCTTATACCTAACCCTGTAGAGACTTTACCTATTTATAATCATACAAACTTGGCCATTAAAAATCTTTTTCCTTTTAGAATTCTTCTCCTGTAAGTCAAACTTACCTATTAAGAATCCCTTTTCCCTTAAAATTCTTCTCTTACAAGTCAAACTTACATATTAAGAATCATTTTTCTCTACTATTAAGAATCCATTTTCCCTTAAAATTCTTCTCTTACAAGTCAAACTTACATATAAGAATCATTTTTTCTCTAGTGGGGTGTCTATCCCACAAAACTCTACAACTCTTACATCTTTTCTTATACCTAACCCTGTAGAGACTTTACCTATTTATAATCATACAAACTTGGCCATTAAAAATCTTTGTCCTTTTAGAATTCTTCTCCTGTAAGTCAAACTTACCTATTAAGAATCCCTTTTCCCTTAAAATTCTTCTCTTACAAGTCAAACTTACCTATTAAGAATCTTTTTTATTTTAGAATTCTTTTTTGCAAGTCTTCTTGTCCATCAAGCAATATCTAACAAATCTCTTATGGGATTTGAGTCAATATTCTCAACAAGTAGCAACTAACGCCCAGCAATAATCACCAAACCTGGCAGAAAACAACTCGTACAAGGAAGCTCATATAGCAAAAGAACTTCAAGCCTAACTTCAAACAAACGGATAACAACCAATTTTAAGTACTCTAAATTCATCCATACCCATCACAGAAATTAAGAATTTGATGAACATGTTCATCAATCAGTAGCCTCAACATGTAAAGTTGTCACATTTACAACTTTTCAGGATAAATCACAACAAGGCACACTAAAAACAAGAACTTTCCAATTTCAAACTCACTAACTGGCAGCAACCAATTTGAAAGGAATCAAATTAAACCATAACTATTGAAAAGAGAGACAAACTTAAATTGAAGAAAGCAGGGTAAAAGAACATACCACAGATTTTAATAGGTGCTTCAATCTCTAAAAGAACGGGTTGCTTCAAGAAGATATCTTTAGAAACAAGACAAAGCTGCCTTATTTCAGACTCAGAAAGCTGGACCTGCTTTCCTGGTTTCCTTCTAACTTCAAGCAACCTATTGATTATATCATCAAGAACTCGAGGTTCCATAGCCAAACACCCCCTCCTCTTGTCCTTCAAAAATAAAACTGATCAACTGCACGGACCAAACAAGCAAAAGAAAAACAAGAAGAAGAATAACGGAAAGGCAAGACGATAGAAAAGCAAAAAGAAAGAATAAAGAAACAAACAAGTCTTCCACCAACTACATGCTATGATCTTCTAGTGAAAGTGTAAGAGAATATTTTTTCCAGAAAAAGAATTGGGAAGTTTTATTTTCAAAAAAAAAAAAAGCATGGAATGGTCGTTCTTGGAGCTCGGGGGCCTATTTCATTTATGTTCTTTTGGTTATTGATGCTGAAAAGAATGGCTGGTTGGTGGCCTTTGGAAATAAAAACCAGCCACTGGAATATATTCTTCAAGTTATTCTTTTCTTTTCCTTTTTACAAATAATAGAAGAGAATGAAAAGAAAAATAAGAAGAAAGGGCATAGAGAAGAGAAAGAGATTAAAAAAATGGGAAAGCAAAAGAGTGTGGAAGTAAGTAAAAATGGACCACCAAGAAACACAACGCACCATGGGAAAAGGAGACGATGGGAAATGAAATGAAAGAAGGTAAATGTAGATTTGATAAGGGTCTTTGGATTCTTGATGTTTTTGTACAGTGTTTGATTTGATTTGTCCACGAATTTGAGATTAGAGGGGTAGGAGGAAGGCTTTGTTTTGAAACCGTGCTGTCGGCAGAATCAACAGGAAAACGTTGGTAACTAGCAAAGCGGGTTGGTAACAGTAGCACACCAAAATTTGATAGTTGACGCTGAGGAAGGATTCCACTTTTACTGTTGACTTATTTGCTTCCATGTGCGGCATTCAAGCTGCTCGCACGTTAGTACATGTGAATTGTGAATTACTTTTTTTATTAAATACTCGTTTGCTTTGTTAAGTATATTGTATTGATACTTACAATAAAAATTTATAATTGCGTACTTATAATTTCATGCTAATTGAATATTAATTCATATGTCATGTATGTTATTTAAGTTTTTGAAAATTATGAATTTGAAAGAATTTATGCATTTAATATCTTTATCCTATTTAATTAATATTGTTAATTCAAAATGAATTGATAAAAATATTCAATAAAATCATTATATGAGATAAAAATGTCATATGATTTTTTGTTTTTGAAATTAAAAATATAAAAAATAAAATAAAATAAAAAAAGAGATGGAGGAAAAGAGAGATATAGAAGGGAGGGAGCGGCAGGTTGAACTCACTTGTCTTTATTATAATTTTCACAAGCTAAATAGGCAAATGAATTATGATTTGTCTTTCTATTTCCTTTTCTTTTCTAAGTAACGTCTTTTTTCCTTCTTTAGATTTAAATTAAACCAAATAACTCTGGTAAATTGCAATAATAGTCAATTTCATCTCGTTAGCCATGCCGACAGATTTCTTCTTATTTAGTATTCTTAAGGCTAAATTTTGATTAAATTAAGTATAATATATCTGATTTTCATTTTTTTTTTCATTTGACTTTATCCCTTATGCATGTATACTAGGTTACATCATTTAATAAGTTAGGACTATGACTGGATAAGATTTGTAAGGTTGAATTAGGATCATCGGGCTTATTTCAGGTTATATTTAATTCCATAAACAAAAGTTTAAGTCGACCAAGTCGAAGAAAGGTTGGATCATCTGTCATATTTAATTTATATATTTTTTTTTTCAAACGCATCTTGATCAAGGGAAGTGGGAAGTAAGATAAAAATTAAATCACATTATAATAAATCACATCTATATGTCATATTCAATTAGTTGTTGCAATTATTTAGCTTAAAATCAATAACCCACCAGACACACCCCCTTGAGGCGGTCTAGATTTTACATTTGAAGATGTCAATTGAACTTAACTTGACTCAACTCAATTTGACAATGAATATTTTTATAAAATTCCAATTACCATCGTTAAATAATTAACTTCATTTGTGGTAACAGATTTGAGAAGATTTATATGTTTAAGGATTACCATGAATAAAACAGAGTTACATGCATGAGTCAAATTCTTGAAGGAGAATAAAAAAAGGAAGATATGAAATTTGGAATTGCTTTAGGCAAAAAAGTCAACAACATAACATTTCAAATATGAAAGTTGATTTTGTGGAGAGGGCTTGCTTTGTCTTAGGTAAGTCAATTTCATCGATTACTAGCTCCAACAATTAATAGGGATTTGATGGGGGCATGCCACCTTACCAAAGCCTGCAACTATTACAGAAATTGGTCATGCCACCTTAACTCTAATTATTTCCATATAAAATGTTTTTAAGTTGATTTTTGTTCCCATATAAAATATTTTAAGTTGATTTTGATGACAGTAATTGTTTTTAAGATAAATAGTAGAAATCTTATATGGATTTATATTAGTAGCATATAAAGGGTCAAAGTTGAAAATTCGTATCTACTAAAGAATTTAGTTTCCATCATAATCTTAATAAATTTAAAAATTTATATTTGATATACTATTAGTACATAAATTTTATATATTGTCATGAATAAGATAATAACAACTCATTAATGAGGTAAATCAAATGATAATATCTCATTAATGAGTAAATTATTTTAATTTTTGTACATTTATTTTAAAAATTAATATTTACTTATTAGTAAATTGTCATCGTCTAATTCATTGACAATATATAAAATCACAATATATCAAATATAAATTCTCAATTAATCCTTATACTTTTATCAAAGGTCATATTGAAGGCAATCGCTATTAATATTTATCAACCATTAAATTAGATAACATGGCATAATTTTGGCCAAGTGCTTGACATTTAGATTTTTTGTCTCAACTAAAAACATATAATCTGTTTGCATAAAAGCCTCATTATCTGGTTGCATTTTTTTATCAATATATTTTAGTTACAAATTATTATAATTATAATCAATAAAGAAAAAATCAAAATAATTATATGAGATGGAGTATTTAGCATACAAACGAATTTATTTGACAAAAATAATATCCCACACTAAGATGATGATGATGACCTCCCATGACTATTCCCACCACTTTCATTGTTGAAAAATTAACACGCACACGCAACAGTCACACACAAAATAGCAAGCTCAAATTAAGAATAAAAACACACAAGTACATTTGTTTCAGTCCAACTTAAAATGGTCTACTCCAAATTCAATCCACTAATAAATAAATCTTTACAACTATGAGACTTTTGAAACAAGAAAAGTCACCAAAAACTCTTTATTCAAAACTTAGCTATTACACCCAAAATCTAATTACACCATTTTAATAACCTACTCACTTACTATTATCTTGGTGTTTAACTATCTATGATAATCAAACTAAAACTATTTATAAGGGTGAAACCTCTTATAATTTTATTAAACTCTCAATGTAGGATACAAGACAAACTCAAACTCTTATAACTTTAGTTAACTTTCGATGTGGAATTAAGAGATTCAGAGCAAATCTTAACAAATTTTTTCTTGACTTGAATCTCCAAACACTTCAATAGTATCTGCAAAGCTGACATGCTTGCCTTTCTTCTTGTCATAGGAATCTTAGTAACTGAGCTTTCATTAAACATGTACAAGTGATTTTTGACCTTATTCCCTTGTAGAATCATACTATCATTCTTGTACTCTTTCAATGAATCATTATTACCATAATATGTGTATGTTCGAGAAGTTAACTCAGTCAAAGCAATCAAATTGTAGCTACAACTCGGCACATACCTTACCTGATGAAAAGTCCTAATAACACTACTGTAAGACCTAAGGCAAACAATCATAATGCCTTGAATTTGCACCTTTTCATTGTTAGCAACCATAATACTCCCATACTTCTCATTCTCATCCAACTCTATAAAGCAACTATTATCATTGCAGACATGAACTGTATTAGTTGAATCTAAAATCCAACATTTATCACCTTTCAAAGTGTGAGTCTCACCCACACAAGTCATTAAAACAACCTCATCATCATCAGACACATTAGCAACAATATCACTCTTTCTTTTATTTTATTTTTTTTCATCATTTGTTCTTTTGAAAGTAGTCATATCCCTTATCAACTTCTTGCAACGTACTTGGATAGGTCTCTTTTCACTACAATAATAACATTTTATGTCACTGTAATCTATGTCTCTTGACTTCGATCTCTTTCTTGATCTATCAAATTTTTTTTTGAATCTTTTCTCGATCCAAATCATTTACAATTAGTGCATTCCTTCCAAGTGATAAGTTTTTGTGTTCCCATAAATCTTTCTTTCTCATGTAATAGGGTAGTAATATCATCTAATTTCAAAGTAAACCTACTCACCAACAAAGTTTGAACTAAAGGTCTATAGGACTTGGATAAAGATGATAACAAAATTAAAGCATTTTCTTCATCTTTTAACTCATCAATAGAAATCAGTAGCAATTAGGAAACCAATCTATTAAACTCATTCAGGTGATTACAAAAACTTATACCTTCTTTTATCTTTAGAGAATATAGATTTATATTCAAATAATATTTGTTAGTTAATGATTTTAGAGTGTAAATATCCTTAAGCTTATCCCATAAATTTTTCAGAGTACTCTCAATCAATTCATTATACTTTATCTCTGGGACTAGTGTCAGTCTAATAATACTAACAGCTTTCTTCTAAATTCTATTTCAATTATTATTAGACATTCTCTTTGGCTTACTATTCTTTAATGCTTGATATCACTTGTTGAAAAATCAACACGTATACACAGTACCCACACACAAAATAGTAAATTCAAATCAAGAATAAAAACACACAAATATATTTGTTTCGACTCAATTCAAAATGATCTACTCCAAACCCAATCTACTAACAAATAAATCTTTACAACTATGAGACTTTTGAAATGAGAAAAGTCATCAAAAACTTTTTACTTAAAACTTAACCTAAAACTCAATTACATCCTTTTAATAGCTTACTCACTTAGCCATTCTCTTTGTGTGTAACTATCTGGGATTACTAAACTAAAATCAAAGCATCTTATTTATAATGGTGAAACCCCTTATAACGTTACTAAACTCTCAATATGAGATACAAGACCAACTTAAACTCTTATAACTTCACTTAACTTTTAATGTGAGATTAAGAGATTCAAGGTAAACCCTAACATTCATTTCATGTAGTATTTAATTCTACAACATAGAAGAAGCCATTCTCTAAACATAAGCCATCAACCCCTCTTGATGATGACAAGCCTACTGCTGGATACAAACTAAAGCAATCACATCAACATGCCATAATCAAATTCGATTGAAGACACATATGCATGAAATTGAAGACTTCAAGCCATTTCTCAAGGGAAAAAAAAGTCTACTTTGGCTTTTATTATGCCATAATTAAGTTTACTAGAAAGCTGTCCGTGTTTTGTTGTAGGTACATTTAGCAATTCGTATGATTATATTATGTAAAATAATAAAATTTTATGAAAATTATATATTTTTATTGTGTGGACAATTCGTATCAATATTAAAAATATGAAATTTATTTTTTTGTTTTTGTTAAATCTATACATTTTTTTAGCTAAAATTTAAACCTATCATATATATATATATATATATATTTGCATCATTTCTATGTTGCATTTTGAATTGCTTATGTATACACCAAATTTGTCCCAATTTATCAAAGTCAGGTGTGATTTTATTAATCAAATATTAAACAAAAAAATGAATGAATGAATGAAAAAAATAAAAACACAAAATAAAAAAAATAATTAATCAATAAAAATAAAAAAATTTAAAAAAAAAAT